GTGGACATTTTTAAAAAGCAGTTAAAAACACATCTGTTTAGGCTTGCGTTCCATTAATTGTCCATTGTATCATCTCTGTATTTCGCTGCACTTTACTTTTTATTTGTTTTTGTGTATTTTGCATTGTTTCTGTTATTGTATTTTTTGTATTTTATCTTGTGAAGCAATTTGTGAGTCCTCTCTGTGAGAAGTGCTATATAAATAAATTTACTTACTTACTTTACTTACCAGAGGACACAAATATATTCAGTAGTTCAGTGAGAGCAACAGTGCATTTTAATTGGAATATCAACTTCATCCAGATGGTAACAAGTGAGGACCCACTAAATTTGGTGATCTACAGTTTAATCCCTTCTGAGCACATTTTAAAATTGTTACAGTTAATTATGATTAACTCATAAATAAGGAGTCAATCCAAATAACATGATATGAAAGCATAATGGTCTTTTCTTTATCAGCCACAGTTCATATCGGTACCACAGTACTGCCATACTGTCGCCTACTGTGGGGTTACATCAACATTATTACTGACTTTTTTCTAGTCACAACCAAACACCCACTAATGTCCACCAACTATCTGACAACATAACTGATTCCTCTCTGATATTTCAAGTTCCAACAACAGAGAAAAAAACAACATAAAACATGTAGATGGAAAGAGACTGAAACACAAAAAACAACTGGTTTGAAATCATATCAGCAGAGACAATCCTGTGATGGTTATGAGTTTATCAACTAATGTAAATCAGGATCTAAGTGGCCATCAGTTGAACATTTTGATGAATCCTGACCTGAGAGTTTCCAGTGTACAGTGTGAACTCTTCAATCCATCAGACAGAAGGTTCACTCCTGAATCCTTCAGGTTGTTGTTACTCAGGTCCAGGTGTCTCAGACTGGAGGACTGGGAGCTGAGAACTGAGGACAGAGCTTCACAGCTTCTCTCTGACAGGTCACAGACACTCAGCCTACAGAGACAACAATCATCAGGAAGAAAAATATTTGTGTTAAAATGCAATCCTCTTTGATTAATGAGTCTGGACTGAAGTCAAATCTAAAGGACCAAAGATCTCAGTTAGTACTTCAGCTAACAGGACACTAACAGACCTGCATTATAACACTGAGTCAAGAAGAACACTTTAAATTTGTTCAGTAAAACTGAAATATCAACTTCATCCAGATGGTAACAAGTGAGGACCCACTAAATTTGGTGATCAACAGTATAATCTCTTCTGAGCACAGATTTAAATCCTTACAGTTAATTATGATTAACTCATAAATAAGGAGTCAATCCAAATAACATGAAAGCATAATGGTCTTTTCTATATCAGCCAGAGTTCATATCTGTATGTAGTTCAGTAGGTGGGATTGAACCAGAAAAGAGTTTCTGAACTGTGAAGTTTCAAATCCTGATTGAACATTTGTCAGAATCAGAAATGCTGACATGAGAGAGAATGTTTAAACTGTATGGAGTTTAGAGAAATAACTGAAATCATTTCAGAAGGTCTGCAGCTTGATCTGACCTGAGAGTTTCCAGTGTACAGTGTGAACTCTTCAGTCCATCAGACAGAAGGTTCACTCCTGAATCCTTCAGGCTGTTGTTACTCAGGTCCAGGTGTCTCAGATGGGAGGGGTTGGAGCTCAGAGCTGAGGCCAGAGAAACACAGCCTTCCTCTGTGATCAGACAGCCTGACAGACTACAAACACACAAAACAACACACACGTCACAAAATCTGAGGGTGAGTACCACAGTACTGCCATACTGTCGCCTACTGTGGGGTTACATCAACATTATTACTGACTTTTTTCTAGTCACAACCAAACACCCAATAATGTCCACCAACTATCTGACAACATCACTGATTCCTCTCTGATATTTCAAGTTCCAACAACAGAGAAAAAAACAACATAAAACATGTTGATGGAAAGAGACTGAAACACAAAACACAACTGGTTTGAAATCATATCAGCAGAGACAATCCTGTGATGGTTATGAGTTTATCAACTAATGTAAATCAGGATCTAAGTGGCCATCAGTTGAACATGTTGATGAATCCTGACCTGAGAGTTTCCAGTGTACAGTGTGAACTCTTCAGTCCATCAGACAGAAGGTTCACTCCTGAATCCTTCAGGTTGTTGTTACTCAGGTCCAGGTGTCTCAGACTGGAGGACTGGGAGCTGAGAACTGAGGACAGAGCTTCACAGCTTCTCTCTGAGAGGTTACAGCCACTCAGCCTACAGAGACAATAATGGAGAAAACACAAGCAGTAAGTTGAAAAGACAACAGAGCATTTAAGTTATGATATATGAATCCAACTGTCTCTGTACTTACAGAGCTTTGTTGGAGGCTTTGACCACTGGCAGCAGCCTCAGAAGAGCCTCCTCTGAAGCAGAGTATTTCTTCAGGTCAAACACGTCCAGATCTTCTTCTGATGACAGTAAGATGAAGACCAGAGCTGACCACTGAGCAGGAGACAGTTTATCTGTGGAGAGACGTCCTGAACTCAGGGACTGTTGGATCTCCTCCACTAGAGAACGATCATTCAGTTCATTCAGACAGTGGAACAGATTGATGCTTCTCTCTGCAGACAGATCCTGGTTGATCTTCTTCTTGATGTACTGGACTGTTTCCTGATTGGTCTGTGAGCTACTTCCTGTCTGTCTCAGCAGACCTCTTAGGTGTCTCTGATTGGTCTGCAGTGAGAGACCCAGGAGGAAGCGGAGGAACAAGTCCAGGTGTCCATTTGGACTCTGTAAGGCCTTGTCCACAGCACTCTGGTGGAGATACTTCAGATTCTGTTTGTCTCTGAAGACTTTAGACCACCGGGATGTTGTTTGTTGTTCTTCCATCAGATTGACTCCAGAGTTGATGAAGGTCAGATGGACATGAAGAGCAGCCAGAAACTCCTGAACACTCAGATGGACGAAGCAGAACACCTTGTCCTGGTACAGTCCTCTCTCCTCTTTAAAGATCTGTGTGAACACTCCTGAGTACACTGAGGCTGCTCTGATATCGATGCCACACTCTGTCAGGTCTGATTCATAGAAGATCAGGTTGCCTTTCTGCAGCTGATCAAAAGCCAGTTTTCCCAGAGACTCAATCATCTTCCTGCTCTCTGGACTCCAGTGATGATCTGTCTCAGCTCCTCCATCATACTTGATGTTCTTCACTTTGGTCTGAACCACCAGGAAGTGGATGTACATCTCAGTCAGGGTCTTGGGCAGCTCTCCTTCCTCTCTGGTCTTCATCACATCCTCCAGAACTGTAGCAGTGATCCAGCAGAAGACTGGGATGTGGCACATGATGTGGAGGCTTCGTGATGTCTTGATGTGGGAGATGATTCTGCTGGCCTGCTCCTCATCTCTGAATCTCTTCCTGAAGTACTCCTCCTTCTGTGGGTCAGTGAACCCTCTGACCTCTGTCACCATGTCAACACAGTCAGGAGGGATCTGATTGGCTGCTGCAGGTCGTGTGGTTATCCAGAGGCGAGCAGAGGGAAGCAGTTTCCCCCTGATGAGGTTTGTCAGCAGCACATCCACTGAGGTGGACTCTGTAACATCAGTCAGGATCTCATTGTTGTGGAAGTCCAGAGGAAGTCGACACTCATCCAGACCGTCAAAGATGAACACAACCTGGAACTCTTCAAACCTGCAGATTCCTGCTTCTTTGGTTTCAGTAAAGAAGTGATGAACAAGTTCCACCAAGCTGTACTTTTTCTCTTTCAGCACATTCAGCTCTCTGAAAGTGAATGGAAATGTGAACTGTATGTCCTGGTTGGCTTTGTCTTCAGCCCAGTCCAGAGTGAACTTCTGTGTTAAGACTGTTTTCCCAATGCCAGCCACTCCCTTTGTCATCACTGTTCTGATTGGTTCATCTCTTCCAGGTGAGGCTTTAAAGATGTCTTCTTGTCTGATGGTTGTTTCTGGTCTGTGTGGTTTCCTGGATGCTGTTTCAATCTGTCTGACCTCATGTTCATCATTGACCTCTGCAGTCCCTCCCTCTGTGATGTAGAGCTCTGTGTAGATCTGATTCAGAAGGGTTGGGTTTCCTGCTTTAGCGATCCCCTCAAACACACACTGGAACTTCTTCTGCAGGTCAGATTTCAGTTTACGCTGACAGACTGCAGCAAGATTTCCTGAATGAACACAACAAAGAAGATCAGTAAGACAAAGAAAATATTTCAACATGTCATTTCCTCAAAGAATGAGTATATGAATATATTTTGGTCCGTCTCTTGAGACATTAGTAAACGTCCCGTTTATCCATCATGTTAAATCTTTATAGAAATCCTCGTACTGCTCTGCAGACAGTCAGCCAGCTCCTCCTGCTTCATTCTCCTCAGGAAGTTCAGTGTGATCTTCAGAAATGCTTCTCTGCTTCTCCTACTCTGCTCTTCCTCCCTGCCCAACACCTCCTCGTCCTCCCTCTGACTCTCTGAGCATTCTGGGTAATCTGAACTCAGAACCTTCTGGATCTTCTTCAGCTCGTTCTTCACAAAAGTGACGATGTTCTCCTCCAGCAGCTGGAACAGAATATTATATGAATGACACAATCAAACATCAGATCCATGTTGGACACACTGACAATCCACTGGTGTAAAAAGTGCAGCATGGAGATGATTGTGAACAGAATAGATGTTAAAGTAGTTGTTGTACATGTACAGACCATAAATATGGAGTCCAGGTGTGTTTGATGCTGCTGGGCAGACTGACCACTGGGAACCTCTGAGCTCTCCTGGTCCACTCTGTGGAGGAATCATCAACAATGAGCTCACATTATGTTTGCACCAGGAGACTGTAGAATTTGTAACACGCATGCACGCACGCATGCACGCATGCACACACGCACACACACCAGTTAGTTAAAGATGTGCTCTGTCATGATTGATCAGAATGAAAATCAGATGTAAACAACACTGTAAATGATGGACACCTGATTCTGTGTCTCATGACTGAGGATCAGAACAGTTAGTTCATCTGTTTCAATCAACAGTTTTATTTACTTACAGCAGGTCAGAAGAAGGGAGTCCATCTTTGAAGTCAAACACAAAGTCTTTTGACTGATCACTCTTCATGGACACACAGCTGGGTACAGGGGACTTTTCTCTCTGCTGTTGGAAACTGATAGAAACACTGAAATTAACTGAACATACAAGATTTCTGTCTCTGATTTCACTGGTTTTATTTGGCACTGGAAGTTATTTTATTACAATTAAAGCATGTTTTTAACAGCAAAGAAGACTCTGCATTTTTATGGTGCTTGTTGGTTGCTTCTTCACTCACCTAAGCAACATCAGCATTTTAAACAAGACGTCACAATGAGATGCAGTAACTTAAACCACTAGAGTCACATTATAGCAGTTTGACTTGGAGCCCAGGTACCAGTCAGAGTTCAGGTCTGACAAAGATAATGTTTCTTAGTTAGGTACCAATCACCTCCAGAAAGGACCCATGTCTTTCAGTATATGAGCCTTGGAATAAGAATCAACCAAACAAGGCACCAGCCGACAACATGAAACAAAACACAGTTCACCACAGTGTATTACACATTCAGTGCCCAATAAAATATCGCATCCATTTCAAACTTCTGGTTTTCAAATCTGTCCACAGCTTGGCCCCTCCTTATCTCTCCAGCCGTCTTCTTCCACACACTTCTTCCCGCTCACTCCGTTCCTCAGATACACATCTTCTCGCCATTCCCCCCTCCAGACTCCGCACTATGGGTGACAGGGCATTCAGTGTTGCTAGCCCCCATCTCTGGAATGCTCTGTCCCTTGTCCTGCACCAGTGCACTTCCCTGGTTTCTTTTAAATGTCAACTGAAAATGCACTTTTTTAAATTAGCCTTCCCTGTTTTGTAATTGTATTGTTAACTCAGTGTTTTATACTTTCATTTTGTGTTATGTTGTTATCTTGATTGAACACTTTTTTTGGACTGTTTGATGTTTTTATATGATGTTTTATTGTCTTTGATCGTAAAGTGTCCTTGGGTGTCAAGAAAGGCACTTTCAAATAAAATGTATTATTAGGGGTCCTGGGAAGCAGCGGTGCTGGGAACCCTATTGTAATTGTAAAGATTCTTTTTTTTCCTCTATTTTTATTCTTCCGTAGATAAAAGTGGTGCTGCAGGGTAAACCGTGCATGGGAGGGTGGTACAATTTGGAGCATTGGTCCAGACCTCTGCACGTACCTCAGACACCAAAAATTACACATATCCGCCTGCAGGGGGCGCTATACTCAAGAAATCGCGTTTTGGCCTAGAACTCCCACACCGTATGTCGCACATTCAAAAACCTCATATCCCTGGATTCCCTGAATGGAGCTGCATCACGTGGGCTAGGCCCCGCCCATTTCCGCCTGTGCTTTTTCCCCGGCAAAATCGCAAAAACTGCGAAACCTACTTTTTTAAACTCCTCCTAGGGATTTTGTCCAATCTGCATGAAACTTGGTACGTACACTCCCGACATGGACCTCATCTAAAGTTGAGAAAAGAATTTTGCTCGGTCAAAAAATTTGCGAATTATTCATGAACTAATTTTTGTAGCTAGCTATAAAAACTCAAACTGTTCTGTATCTTGGTCAAATTAAATGCTATCAACACTAAATTTGAGATCTGTAGTTGTCATGTCATTGTGAGGGCGTGAACCAAATTTGGTGAACGTTGGCCACTAGGGGGCGCTACAAATATGGGAAGTTTATATCTCCTAAAAGGCTACACCGATTTTTACCAAATTTGGTGGGCACGATGGAGGGCCATTCCTGAGGCCATATACAGAAGGTGATCATGATTGGTCAAAGTGGGCATGGCTTATTACAAGCTAAATAACAACCATTTATTTCAGCTGAACTATTGTACTGAGGGCTGTGAAATTTATAGAGTACATGTAGAACAGGACACACACCTCCCAAACCAAAAATTGTGCAGATATTCCACTAGGTGGCGCTATGCTCGATGCAAATGCATTTCTGCCTTTAACTTCCACATTTTAAATCACATATTCATAACCTTTATATCCAAGTATTCCCTGAATAGAGCTGGATATTCTGACATAGGCTACATCCACTTCCGCTGCAGATTTCCTTCATTAAGTTGCTACATGTCCAAAACCACTTTTTCGAACTCCTCCTACAGATCTTGTTCAATCTGCGTGAAACTTTGCACAAACCATCTCCAGATGTCTCTGATCCAAAGTTGTGAAAAGAATTTAGGTACTCCAAAATATGCCCTAGTTATAATCAAACAAATTTTTTTTCCTAGCTAAAAAAAACATATTGTTGCATATTTTTGTCAAAGTAACCTCTATTAACATCAAACCTGAGTCAGTTATTCCAGAGGTCATCCAGAGGCTCTGTGCCAAATTTGGCGCAAATCAACCAATAGGGGGTGCTATAAAACTAGAAAGATTAAGTCTCTTAAAAGTTGATCGGATTTGTACCAAATTTGGTGAGCATGATGTGGGGTCAGTCCTGAGGCCAGCCGCAAAGTGGTAATGATTAGTCAAAGTTGGCGTGGCTTATTTCTAGGGTTGGGACTCGTTAGGATTTTAACAATTCCGATTCCTTACCGATTCCTTCTTAACGGTCGGATTCCTTACCGATTCCTCTTACCAATTCCTACATTATATTCATTATACTTGCTATACTTAAACAAGTATATAATAAACACAAATGCAATCATACAAATACAAAAACTTTATTCTAACTGTTGCACAGTACAATTAGATGAAAATACACATTTGTGTGTGGTGTGTATTTCAGATTTAGAGCTTGTATCATCTCCCTGAGAATATATAACAACAAAAAGTGATTCTCTGATTTCTACAGTAACACTATTATCTCAAATTAACCACAGCAATGTAATAAAAAATACTTATATGCATTCATGCTCGGGCACTGTTATTTACATGACAACACCTGAACAGAACACACACACACACATTGGCTGTTTGTTTCTACCGCTCCCCGCTGGAAGCCTAGGACCTCCCGCCGCCTGCTCCCGTCTGAAACACGGAGGTCTCCCTCTCCGTGGAGCACCCATGGCGCACGCCCGGCCTGTTAAATAGCCTGTAACCATAACAACTGTGTGACACAAACTCAGTGCTTTAGTACTTAAATAATGTCGGGTTCGGTCGGGTTCGGACAGAAATATGCGGCCCGTGCCGCACTCTACTGGAAATGCATGTGACATGCATGCTGGATCCGGATCCCAACCGTACTTATTACAACAAACACATTCAGCCTTTCACACTTCCCATTACAGCGAATACTGCAGCTCAGACATTGGCCTGCGTCCTGACGCTCGCCCCGAGCCTGTTGTCCTTTGGGGCCGACTTTTGTGGGCTCCGTGGGGCATGGGGGCCAAGTTGCGTGAGGAGGCTTGGACCCCATTCATAACTGCGTGCAGTTCTAGTTATTATTATTATTATCATTAATTTAGAACATGGCACTCTTAAATACTTGATTCTGATTGGTCAGTCAACAAAATTCTGCAGTGTTTATTTCTTGAGGTATCACCTAGGGACGCCATAGCAACGGTGGCCTAGGAGCATCAAAATCAGTTAACGTTACTCCACACAGGCCAAATAGGATCGGAGTGGAAATGGAAACGTACCTAATGAATGTATACACATGCTGCTTTTGCTTTTTAATGATTATAACAGAGAAAAAAGGCCGAACCTGCTGTACAGGAACCGGTGAAATGAAGCAGGGAAACTTTGCTCATATTCAAACAGCTGTGTGTCTGTGCTGGGAGCGGCATGGGGGTGAAGCTAAACACTGTTCATCTGCACAGACTGTGTTACCTTGATTTCGTTGCTGTCAGGCTGACATCCTGAATATATCCTTCAAATGCATATTGTAGAAATGTGAGAGTATTTCTCCAGGGAGTGCAGCTTAAGTTTAAGTTTAAGTTTATTTATTTTATAAATCTCCCTGAGGGGAAATTCAATGTTTTCACTCTTGCTTGTCAATTACACACAGGTCCGAAAGACACACACATGCACAAACAGGACCTATACATGCACAAAGTGGAGAGATGTCAGAGTGAGGGGGCTGCCCTTTGGTCAGGCGCCCCGAGTGGTTGGGGGGGGTTCGGTACCTTGCTCAAGGGCACCTCGGCAGTGCCCAGGAGGTGAACTGACACCTCTCCAGCTACCAGTTCACGCTCCATATTTTGATCCGGACGGGGACTCGAACAGGCGACCCTCCGGTTCCCACCCCAAGTCCCTATGGACCGTTAGCGACAGTGGGAGCGGCGCCATGCCAGTCTGGCTCCGAAACCGAAAGTTAGTCGGACTTAGCAACAGTAACTAAGGGGGGGAGGCCTTAGCGAAGGGTGAATTCAATATTAATTATCATTAGGCTGCCGTTGCCATGGATACATAGTACAAACACATTTCTTTTTGCGAATTTTGAATCAATAGGCTAAAACGTGCTTTAATCATTATTTAGTGTCACATCGCTGAATTTTTTAGTAGTAAGCCATGTTCTAAGCGGGATAATGTATAGTGAGTCTGTGACTGTTGAAAAATAACTCCAGACAGCGGAATGGAACCCCAACACACAGCATAAACCTACAGGTCAACCATCAACAAAATAAGTCTTTATCTCCATTCAAATCTCAGCAAGAGTCCACGTCTCAACAAAAAATCTCTTCAGGATTCAAAATAAAAAAAAACTCAGTTTTAGGCTTCAAACAAAAGTTGGCCAATAAAAACAAAACTGAGTGACGCTTCTTACGACTCAAGCTTAGTGATTCGACTCTGAGGAGGAAGTAGCTCTGATTGTGTTTGCACCATAGACTGTTTACACTTAATGATTTACATTCAAACACACACACACACACACACACACACACACACACACACACAGACCAGTTAGTTAAAGACGTGTTCTGTTATGATTGATCAGAATGAAAACCAGATGTAAACAACATTGTAAATGATGGACACCTGATTCTGTGTCTCATGACTGAGGATCAGAACAGTTAGTTCATCTGTTTCAATCAACAGTTTTATTTACTTACAGCAGGTCAGAAGAAGGGAGTCCATCTGTGAAGCCAATCCCAAGGTCTTTTGACCGATCACTCTTTATGGACACACAGCTGGGTACAGGGGACTTTTCTCTCTGCTGCTGGAAACTGATAGAAACACTGAAATTAACTGAACATACAAGATTTCTGTCTCTGATTTCACTGGTTTTATTTGGCACTGGAAGTTATTTTATTACAGTTAAAGCATGTGTTTGAAACACGTCTTGTTTATAATGCTTATTTAACCAACATTACAATGGGATACAATAACTAAACAACTAGAGTCACGTCTGATGTGATACTTGTTTGTATTTGGTGTGTGATTGTTTAAGCAGTGTGTTATTAATCTGATGTGTTCAGACTTTACACTGTTGACCTGCCACATCACTTCAAACTGAGGTTTGGTTTAGGCCACAGCACACCTGAGGAGACCTCCTCAACTAGTCCCCAGAGAAGTTAATGTCTGACATACACATACATGTATACATGTCTTTATGCTGCAGCAAATGATTATATTATTGTCAATGAATCATCTGTTTATATTCTCAAATAACAGTTTAATGTACAAATGCCCCAAAAAACGCCTTCAAACTGTCCAAAACAAAAAGATTTTCAGTTAAAGAGTTGATGAACATGTTGAAGGTGAAATAGGATCAAATGTGATGTCAAGTGTTGAGTGTGATACCTTTTCATGTTGGTGATAACCTGCAGCCTCCTGATGAAGACAGACAGACAGACAGACAGACAGACAGGTTCATCATTAGACTTAAAGTATATGTTGTCAGATAAACTCTATCAAAGACAGGAGGTGAAGACATGAACCAACAGTGACACATTAAAGACTGGAATCAATCAACGGTCCACTTACTTCTTCTCATGGACTTCATCACTCTGCAGCTCTCTGCTGTCTGGACCAGGTCTGTGGACACAAAGAGTTTTCTGTTGATCTGAGTGGGACCATGTGCTCCATCAGGACTCACACTGGAGGCAGACTGGGTCTTTTAAGCCCTCTTCAGACAGTAAATATGTGACACTGCTGCCGTCATATATTTGTTAAAGTGATATTTGCTCATTGAGACAGAGGAGACTGTTATGTTGATGTTTCTTACAGCTTCATTCAGACATGACAGCACACTCCATGAGAGAGAGAATAACAGTGAAATGATGTGAAGGAAGAAGAAGGTTTTCTCAGCCTCTGTTAAGAGTTCATAATGTGTCCTCTTCTACACCAGAGAAACACACTTCATGTTGCTTTGTCTTTGCCTTTCTTTGGGGATGACGTCACTTTTCACTTCTGTTTGACTGACTCTGAAAAGCTCTTCAACATTTCAAATGTTCCAATGTGCTCGTCACATCATCCAAAATTAATCATTCACATCTACACCAGCTCCCAGAGACTTTCTACCTTCATCTGTAGAGGAAACGTACGGATGTTTGTGTTCACATGTGAAACTCTGCAGACAACAAACTGTGTGTTCCAGTCCCCATACTACCATACTGTTTAGTACGCCAGAAAAAGATTTAGTGTGTCCCAATACACAGTATGTCATGAATACCAGGATGTTCTACTACATCTGGTCGTATTGTACAGTTTACAATCCAGCACGCTTTTCTGTTTATTCTGACCCACAATCCTCTGCACAGCGGACGATACGTCACATTGACTGAGCCGCAGACAGATGACAGCTTTACAGCTATAAGGGAAGTGTCCTTTAAAATGATACACAGATATTACCCAGCTGATCATTATCTTGTCAAGTTGAAAAAGGACGTCAGTGTAAACTGATCATTCTGTGCAGAACTCCTACAAACACTTCTTCACCTGTTTTGGCACTGTGTCCATACTAAAAAGCTGTGGAAGGACGTGAGTAGATTTGTTATTGATAATATTGACTCTGATGTCACTTTATGCCTGGAGAATGGCAGTAAAATCAAAGAAGATTATATCATTAGTTGAATCAATATTTTGGCTAAATATCATATCCACAAAGATAAAAATCAAAGTCTGTCCAGCTCACTCAGTGTAAAAGTCCATGGTACAGGCAGGCAGTCCAAAAATGCATCCGAGGCTCTCTGACTGTAGTTAAAAATCCTTTATTAATAATACATGGATAAACCAACACATTTCCACTAGAGTCTTCATCAGGGTGTAAAATGCATTGGAAACAGGTGTGCAGTTTGCACACTCAGCTCATGCAGCTCATGCAGGGGTCATGTGACACAGGTCACATGATATAGCCTACTGGTGTAGCCCTACTAGACAAAAACAACATTGAAAGAAAGTGCAAATGAAAATGAAGTAAATCTACTGTATACTATGAGTAATTTACATATCTAGTAACAAGAAAAGAGGTTCAATGCCAAATAAAAAGAAACAACAGTGAGATGAAGTAAGAATTGTTCTATATTGTGACAAACCTGCACATTAAGTGACAGAAAATGAAAAATATGCATTTTTGGACTGCCTGCCTGTACCATGGACTTTTACACTGAGTGAGCTGGACAGACTGTTTTTTATCTTATGTGACTATTTGCCCCGTCCTTCAAGAGCACCTCATGTTTTATAACTAACTACATAGAGCCTTAACCTAGTGCAGCACTCCCTATTTTTTCCTCATTATCAACCCACAAGTCTAAGTACAACAACTGGAAACGCTCATTTGTTAGATTTGAAAATGAAACCAAACAACACATCAAAAACATCTCCTCAGAAAATTAGAAGGCTATTCAGAGATGAATTTGTGCACACTCTTTAATGTGTGTGTATGAATGAATACTGTCTTCTGGCTCTGTAGATGTAAACTGTCCCCTGTTATTGTCTTTGTTTTTGTTGACGTGTTTCATTGTGATTGATTTATGTCATTTAAATGTGTTTTGTATTCAACTGTTTAATAAAGAACTTCACAGCTCTTTGACAGAAGTCGCACTGACGGATGACAGCACATTCAAATGACTGATGACCAGTCGAATAGTAATAACAGGAATATTAATTGTTAAAATGAACAAAAGAATCATAAAGATAACCAACAACAAAAGGACAGAACTATGAAAATAACAATGGCAGAGAAATGTAAATGTCATTTTACTGTAGTGAATATAATATGTAAGAATCTACAGTGTTTGCAGTCATAACTTTAAACATGGCAAAGTAACAACAGCAGAGCTCTCCGGGTTGACCTCCATCTCTAGTGAGCAGCGTGAACGGCGTTTTGCTTTGTCTCCATGGGAACGAGTATAAAAGCAGAGACAGTAGTCTGTCCTGATTGTCCTGATCGGAACGCACCCAAAGTTTCCCCTGAACAAAAGGGATCCAAACTGCGTCATGACGCGGAGAGCTCTGCGTGTAAAGGGGATGAAAACACTGAATGTGATTGGCCATGATCGTCTCAGCCTCAATAATAATCTTTCGGATGCCAGCACGCGCCCAAGTGCGCCACAGGTGCGGAAAAGGAAGCGAATGAAGCTGAAGTGCGTTTTGCGCGCTCCCGACCCCTTCTCACTATTGAGAAGACATGAACCTCTAACTTTTCTTATAGAGTTTAAATTCTTGGTTACAAACTGTGAGAGGAGAAAGTGAAGAGTGATTAAGTCCGGACTGAAGAGTCTCTGTTCCTCTTCAGAAGGTCTAGAGGGACGTGTCTGTAAGTGCTGAAGTGCGTTTTGCGCGCTCCCGACCCCGACGCACTGAATATGAAGTATGTGACTGCGACTTGCGTGCGCCCTTATCTGTTGATCCAAACACTAACACGCGCGTGCACGTAACCAGGGAAACTGGAAACTGAACTCCACTTTACCAAGTTTCTACACGAACTGAACTAACAAAGAGTCATTCAAGAGCCACACAGTGAAAAGTGTCAAAGCTTACAAACCTTTAGATGAAGAGAAGAAACTGCGACACGACGACGAGCACACAAAGTGAAACTAAAGTTCCAACAGGTAGGAAGGGGCGGTGACGGTCAGGTGCTCTCAGATCAGTCTCATTCTTCACCTCCACCTAGTGCCGCCTCCACACTGCAGGCGGCGCCCTCGGCCCAAATATACAGCAGCTCCAATATGAATGGAAAGCAGCAGAATCTTCATATAGTCAATGAGACATATTCATACACAGCTGCCCAAACTTTGTTGCCGAATTGCAAAACGGAATTTTGTGAGTTTGGTTGTGGAGTTTTTAACCACTAGTGGTTGTGGTGAGAAACTACGGAAGCCCTGAGAGACAAGCTGAGAATTTTTATTTATTCATTTTGTGGGTGATGTAGACCAAAAGTTCATCTCCTCAGTACAAGATATGATATCCTACATACAAGACATTATCCTGACTTAGGACATATTATCTTCTACATACGACATAATGTCTCCTAACATTCTGTTCACTATCTCCTAACCTTATGCACACCCACTTCAGCACTGAGATATTACCTCTTATGTAGGAGATGTTGCTTTTAAAGTCACATTAGTTTAGAGTCACAACAGTCGCTGCTTCACAAATCTATCAGTGTATTAAACAGCTCATCAGTGTGTAGAAGAAGCACAGAAGGTCAGTTATCATTCATGAAGGTTCCTGCTGTCACATGAAAAACTGGAGACGCCTTCCTGTGAGCGTCTTTATTAGAGGCTGAGCACAGTGAAGTTTAGAGGACAACAACAGAGGACAACACAAGTCCACATGATGTCTTCCCTCTGTCTCTCTGCATCCTGTGGACCTTCAGCACCCGAGTGTTTGCCTGGACCCAGATCTGTCCCTGTCCTCTGTCTGTCCTGCTGACTGCATTTCTCAGTGAGACTGAAGACAAATTAAAATTTTGCACAAAAATCATAAATAAAAACAAAGAAAAAAAACAGTCGAGCAGAAAACGAGTCATCTGTGGAGTGAGAGAGTGTTTTCTTTAGTGCCACCGTCAGGACAAACTCACATCCTACACACATTCTGTGAACTACCATCAGCTGTGTGTGATCCTGTACAGACTGAACTATCTGTTTAGCAGTGAGAAAGTTTCTCTAACAGGAGGAGACTCTCCCTCCTACAGAGAACACAGAGACACTGAGGAACCAGACCAGAGCCTAAACCAAGGATAAAGAGGTTCAGTGAATGTGCTGTTGAAGGTGTGGAGGTGGATCAGTGTGTCAGAGGAGACTCTGAAGAAGGACAGAGTGCCAGCAGGACAGTCCACATACACTGCTACTCTACCAGAGGAGGAGGAGGAGATGATGGATGTTCTGTTATTGTGCCACACAGTGTAACCACCATAAAAGCAGTTCAGACTCCAGGACTGATCATTCCATCCAAACACACAGTCATTACTGTTTCCTCTCCTGCTGATTCCTCTGTAACTCACTGATATATGAACCCCTCCTCTCCACTCGACCTCCCAGTAACAGCAACCAGTCAGACCATTTCTACACAGCAGCTGAGACCAGTAGTCAAATCTGTCTGGATGATCAGGATATGACTGATCCTCCTCCACAAGTGTCACCTTCCTGTTGTTGTTGTTGTTGTTGTTGACAGTTTGATCTTTCTGTTCACTGTGTTTGTGTCGATTGTGAGTTCACAGGAATCTGATGGAGAGAAGAAGACACAATACAGCTGCAGTTATTCATCTATCATCACTCTGATGATGACATCAGAGATTTGAATGAGTGATGTCACAGTTTGAAGATGAAATTAAAAACACACTTACACTTCCTCAGACCTGGTCTCAACCATCG